TTGTCCCAAACAGATGTACTTGAGATTCCAGGCTCAACCTTTGCTCACTGCTCGCAGCTGCAACAACTTTGCCTTCCCCGCATGCTGAGGACCATTGAGCAAGAAGCCTTTTACAAGTGTATTTCCCTAAAGGAGGTCTCTACTCCGCCATCCCTGCTTTACATTGCGAGGCATGCCTTTGCAGGCTGCACGCATCTTCGAATAATCCTCAAGCAAGGAAAAAGCAGCACATGGCGAGGGACATATGCCCAGTCTAATGCTTTTGACAAATGCGAGCACTTCGACAAGCCCACGTGGCTTCGAGTCTTGCCGATTGATGCAAATGATCTTAGGCGAGAAGACTTTCTAGACCCAGCACCAAAGACCAGCAATGCTTCCGAGGCAGGAGAAGAGCAAGGGCTACGTGGGTAGTGAGCTGAGCCAAGTGTCAGTATTCGAGCACTAGGAAAGGGTGACTTCCAGGCATATACGGCAAGAAAAATGCGCAAACACCAAGTAGACCCATGACCTCTTTTCGCCATTCGCTGCGTAGTGAGCCGATAGGAGCGAGAGCCTTAGTTCTGCGTTCCTACCCGGCGGGTGGTAGATAGTGGCAATGAAGGATGCCCAGGGGGAACCTTAGTTCCCGCTGTTGATGTCCGACATTTCCAATTTTGTACAAAGAGGTACAGATATCATGCTAGGAGAGCTCAAAGTTTCACATGTTTCACACGGGCCTTGCGCGCAGCAGACCACTTTTCGCAATTACGCAGCGCCTCACTGATTCAAGAAACATCCCCTTGTGGCACCAGTGCGTGCCGAAGGGTGCTGGGTTTGCCTCCCCTCGGGGAGGTTGTGCCCTGTTCACCCTTAGCTGCAGGCTGCTCTCGCTAGGAATTGCCGCCGCGATTTGGCTTTTGTCGGGCAGCATGCGACTGGCCTTGTATGCGCCACCAGTTGAATGGGTTGTGCTGCAAGATGGTCTTTTCCACGGATTGCTGCTCAGATCTTGTCACTCTTGGTCGACCTGATTACAACCAGCGCTGGAGCATCGCGAGACACTGACCTGCAAAGTGACCTTGTTTTGCCACACTGTGGTGTGGCCGCTGGTCACCAATATTCGGGAAGGAAAGTCCGTTTGAAGCCTCCTAGGCGGCTTTCCATGAACACAGCTTGCGCTGCCGTCCTTTTCCTTTGAGAATTCAGGCCCATTAATTGCAACTAGTTTCCGTTTCACATGTCTCACCCAGTGTAGAGGAAAGACTACAAGATGGTGGAGTTTCGGCCTGCGGGCTTGGGTGTTTGGTTTTGGGTTGGTTTTGGGGTCTTTGTTCCTTTCTCCACCATCTGTCTGTTCTTCCCTTCCTTCAACGATGACCTGGGCACCATGCCCACACGGCGTCCGTACTCGTGGAAAAAAAGTTCCCAGTGAGCCATACACAGAGCTGGTCCCATCGTTCTTTGGTGTAGAATTGTGTGCCATATTGATTGTATGGGCGATCTGCCATTTTCGGAGTGAGAGGATATCCATTGTGGTGGTAGTCGCTGAGGACGCTACCAGGGACTTTGGTCAGCATCAGGCGGGGAGACAGCAGGTGCCATCCTGTGCGGGCCATGGCAACACGTAGCCCGGAGGTCAGCCACTGAGCCACGACAGCACTTTCTGCGTCAATGCTCCCTTGTCCAAAATTGCCAAGCGCCGTTGCTAATCGGGTATAGCCTGTGCCGAAGCGTCCATATCCCTTGGCAAAGGTGTAATTGGGTTCAGCCATCATGTCCTCGTCCTCCGTGGCCTCTTCAGTGCCAACCTCTGGTGGTTCAGCAAGCCCCACTGGCACAGGGAGAGCAAGCTTAGGCGACCGTTCAGCTGACCCTGTAGCGTCAGAGTCAGAGTCTTCTTCTGCAGGCAGGTCTGCGTTGGGGTGTTTGGCAGTAGTCAGGTCTCGCCGCAATGGGACTTCGATGCGCAGCCTGAACTGTAGAAGGGAGGGAAACGAGAAAGCTTGTCCCAAAGACGGGTCAAGGGCACCACTAAAGTAGGCTCTTTCTGCCCAGGACGTGTCCGGCATTCGGGGGTACCGGTCATAAACAATATCTTTGGCGTGCACTCCCACCACGAGCAAGGGGTTGTCCTCAGCATCCTCTTCTTTTGGCCGATATCCATAACCCCCTTTCACTTCCGCAGGCGTGTAGCCCTGCCGCTCCATGGCTACAACCAGGTCAGGCAGTATTTGTACTGGTAGATAGATAAAGAGGTCATTGGTGGGCAATGTCTGTTCCCCATGCTCCATTCCCCTAACAAAGGACATGAGGACAGTGCGCATAAAGGTGAGGGCATCAACGTCTTTTTCCTTCGTCGTCTGTGATTTTCCTTCCTCTACTTTTGCTGGTCCTGGACAATGGTGTGCACCCTAGCGACAGGGATCTGCTGAGAATCGCAGTGTGGGACCCAGACTCCAAGCAAGTTCGTTTTCTGGGCATCAACTCCCTCCCCTTTGGAGCGGTTGGTTCGGTGAGCGCCTTCTTGAGAGTATCCATGGCAATTTGGTTTGTTGGCATTCGTGGACTGGGCCTCTGTTGGACTAGTTTCTTTGACGACTACACCATCCTCTCAAAGAAAGCGAGTGCAAACAGTGCAGCCATAGCAGCAGAAGGCTTTTTCCGACTCCTTGGCATTGATTACGCCACAGAAGGCAAGAAGGCCGTTGAGTGGGACACCAAAGTTAAAACTCTAGGGGTTGTTCTGGACCTGAAGCCGGAGCTGAGCCCAGGTGATAGCCATGCTAGTCCTTTTGTGACGGTAGGTCATACTCCCAGCAGGGTAGCTGAACTAGATAAGACCTTGGACGAGGTTTTGAGCGCCGGTTCACTCTCACTTAAAAATGCCCAGCGGTTGAGGGGTAGGTTGCAATGGTTCGAAAATTTTGCTTCGGGTCGTGTCGCTCAGCAGTCCCTGCGAACCCCAAGTCGTTTGGCGTCAGCCGGGAGAAAGAGCGAGAACCTCAACCACAAGGAAATGGAAGCGGTGAAATTCCTGCGACATCGTGTGCTGACTGCACCACCGACCAAGATCCAGGCCAATAGTTTGGACACTTGGTTAGTTTTCTCAGATGGAGCTTGTGAGGGCGACGAAACCAAGGCAGGGACAATGGGTGCCGTCCTGGTTAGCCTGCATGGTAGACCCATTTCCTTCTTCTCGGAAGCCGTGCCGGAAAGCTTGATGGAATTTTTCCTGACCAAATCCAGCCATCCGATTTTTGAGCTTGAACTACTACCGGTGGTAGATGCGTGTCAGCTTTGGGAAACTCACTTGCAAAGGAGCCAATGTGTCTTTTACCTGGACAACGAGGCGGCAAGGGGAGCCCTCATTCATGGCACTTCGTCTCAAGACTCGGGTGATTTTCTTGTACAAAAGTTTGTTTGGAAAGAGATGGAATGTCAGGTGAAAGTCTGGTTCGGCAGGGTCCCCACTAGCAGCAATGTGGCAGATCGTCCGAGCAGACTTGACACGTCTGAGATGGATTCACTAGGCGTTCCGAGAGCGCATGTGGATTGGCAGTTGGTGGAGACGATGGTGAGACAGTCTCCGTCGTAGGAAGTGGGGTCTCGAAGATCGGGACTTGAGACTTCTCCCAACTGCTTGAGGAAAAACAGATTTCAGGCGTGTTTGCTGTTTTGCTGTCTTGTGCTTGTAAGGCTGTCCTTACTATTATAAATAATAGAGTACGTGAGGATTGTAGCTTCGCAAGAAAGTAAGCAGATCGTTGATCCACGAACCGGCTTCCTATTGACAAATAAGGGAGAACTCATTACACAGTAATGATAATCCCTTTATTTGTAAACAAAGGAAAAATTTTTGTATGTCAAAAATTAGGTTCGATTTTGGATCTGATGAGAATATTTGTGTGGAGTAATTTCAAAAGGAGAATCCACAAAATGTTTTTAATGTTAAAAGCATGCATTGTCAACTGTCGTGTCGTGATTCTTGCTCGTGCGCGCGCCTCAAGAAAGGGTGGGTGGTGTGGGTTTCTACCTGCACTTTTGAGTGTAGGTGTTGGCCCCCCCCTAAAACTCTTGAGTTTTTCCCTCCCAATTTTAACTCCCGTATCTTTATGCGGGGTCTCGAAGATCGGGACTTGAGACTTCTCCCAACTGCTTGAGGAAAAACAGATTTCAGGCGTGTTTGCTGTTTTGCTGTGTTGTGCTTGTAAGGCTGTCCTTACTATTATAAATAATAGAGTACGTGAGGATTGTAGCTTCGCAAGAAAGTAAGCAGATCGTTGATCCACGAACCGGTTTCCTATTGACAAATATATGTTTGATAATGCTTGCGTTGTTGTTGCGGACTACGTGGACGACAAAATTTGTTACATCAGATGTCCATGCCATGTCACAATACTGTCACCGCACTCACCAAATCTGTGTCTATCCGCATCACACGCTTTGGTTTAATCATAAAGGTGTTTGAGGTTTGTGACCATTTTTGTGGGGTTGCGTTTTGCCAATGGCGTTTCTTTTCGGTGACCTTGATTGTCAGTATTGCGTGATAGTGTTGCGTCGGACGGCATCAAGATTGTGCTTCGCTGTTTTTGGAGCATTTGCGAATTCACGTCGGGTTTTGACACAACAGTACATGGGAAAACAGACAATCATTTTCATTGCAAGACATCACGTTACACTTAAAAATGCAAGTCAAACAAAGAGAGATAGACGATTTTGTGAGGGAGTGCGTCCGTTCGTTCCATTCCAGGCAAGTTTGTGTTTCGCACGGAAGCAACATTGCAAAGCCACCTTGGTGTGCCAACAAACGTCCTTTGTGCAACATGACCGCATCTTGGCGTCAATGGAAATGAAAAGGAAGAACGGTCTATACACAATACTGTAGTTTGCTTCTAGGCTGGAGGCCATCGTTAGTAAGTTGAAGGCCACCGCTAATAGGTTGGAGGCCATCGCCATCACTATTTGGTTGGACGCTAATAGGTTGGAGGCCAGATGACTGAAGTTCACATCGTTTGATTCAGGATGTGGAGCAGAAAGACATCGAGGCTCACACAAGTTTGAACTCCAATGTATTGTAACAAAGTACCGTCCAAACTCCAAACCTTTTATGTGATGCATGCAGTGTGAAAGACTTGATGGAACTTTGCAATGTTGGCAGGTAGCTCGGGAAGATCAGGAACGGATAAACAAATTCAGTCGATTGCAACTTGGCAGGTCAAATCTTGGTTGTGGAGATATGTGCAGAAAATCCTCGGGAGATTGTCAGAAACCATATTTTGGTTTGAAAATCAACCTTAGGAACATGAAGTTTCTCAGCTGCAATAAGATGAAGCAGGTTCAAAGAGAGAAAACTACGTAACATTTTTCTGGAAAAGGGATTGGCAGGTACGAGGAGCTGGACGAAGAGATTGTATCCATGAAGAGCGAGGTCCAAGCTTTCAAGGTGCAAATCAGAAAACCGGATGTTTGTTTCATTGCACATTGTTTACATGTGGGAAAACAATATGTGAGAGATTGCAAGTGAAATCACTTTGAGTCGTTTTGGAGGGAGGCGTGGAAAGCTTGGGTCCTTCGAAACTTCCCCGACTCAAGTGTGCCGTCGTTTGGTTGAAAGTTTCCGAACAAAGGAACATCAAACTTGAGTCTTTTCTTTTCAAAGGGTGGAGGCCATTGCAATTAGGGTGGAGGCCATCGCTTCTAAGTTGGAGGCCATCGTTTCTAGGTTGGAGGCCATTCCTATTGGGTTGGAGGCCATCGCTAGTAAGGTGTTGTGGAGCTTCCGTTTCTCGGTTCTTGGATCAGTCCGACCATGAGCAGGATGCTGCAGAGGAGATCGAAGGCGACCGGATTTGTTTGGTAGATGTTGATGAGGGTGTAGACGCTTAAACACCTTGTGTTCAAGTTGTGTCAATGTACGTCGGACCTTCATTTTGGCATTATTTAACTTTCTTTCTTAATTTCTTTCTATTTCTATACATGTCTTTTTGAAGTGGGTGCTGATTCCAACCAAACATTTGGAGGGGTGTCTTTGGACACACCTTTCGGGCTGGCTTGTCGACTCCGATTTGGACATCTTGTGACTCGCCTTGATTTTCTCAGCTTGGAAGCCTATATATATATATAGATGTCTGCCTGGTCCGTCTACTTGTTGCAAATCCGGTTGCAACAGTTGAATTGGCAGCCAAGAATTCCCAAGCTGCAAGAAAGGTGCAAGAAATGTATCACTCCAGTTCCGAACTTGGACATCCAGTTGCTATACCTGGCAGGCTGCATGGAAGAGAATGGGATCATGATGAAGGTTGGTGAGGCCTACACTTTGGTTGACGAGGCGGCCGTTCAAAGCTATTTTGTGTGTGTAAGGAGGCCATCGCTATTGGGGGTTCCAACCTTGTCCAAACTTACAGAAGTGCTACCCTTTTGCCACCGATTCCAACATTTACAGACACAAGCTGTTGCGTGGTCATTGAGAGAGTCGCATCAGTTCAACCTTTGGTCTACTTTTTTGATGCCGCAATCTTCTTTGATTCGTTCAACAATCTAGTTTGGTGTTGCGGTGAAGCTGTGTTCCGTGATTTTGAGGTTTCGTTTGTTTCCATGTGGTCTCTGTTTGGGTCAACATGAAGGGAAAAGATAGGTTGGAGGCTGGAGGCCATCGCTATTACTTTGTGGTTGCAATTCTTGGAGGATTCCGTGCTGGAGAAGTTGAATAAACAAATCGCTGATTCAGAGGACAGCTTCCAGGGCAAAGATGAACTCGATGGACTCATTTTTGTTCGTTTTTGTTTTTGGTGTTCATTGACTCAGTGGACGTCCAAGGCGTCCTTGTCCCAAAAGTCTGATGAGATTGAGAGTGTGAAATCTGAGCTGGACGCCTTGAAGAAGGAGGGGCGGACGGAAGAAGACGGAAGACTGTTCGATTGACACACGAAAAGATGGATAGATTATGATACGTTTTTCTTTCTTTATTGTTTGATTTTGTTCTTGGATTCTTAGGAAACTTAAGGTTCCTTGAAAGACATACACCAGAAGAGCAGTCGATGAGTCATGAAAGCCTTGTCCTCCGCAGTTTCCAGCCTTCAGGTGCTCTATGGGAAGTTTGGCTCAAGCATCAATCTGGAAAAGTAGAGGCACGAGTGCGGCAGGAGGCCATCGCTATCGTATTATTCAGATAGAACTTACTACTAGGAACAAGAAGCTACTAGGGGCTCCTGGAATCGCCACCAGGAGCAAGGACGCTACTAGGGGCTCCTGGCCTTACTACTACGAACAAAGAAGCTATATACTAGGAACTTGATGGCGTCCAGCAGTTTCTGAGGTCCCAGCTTACACGGGCACCCCCAAAGCGCGGATTCGCTGAAGCCCTGTTTTCCTGTAAGCCTGTGTGTCTATTGACGTCAAAGAATAGTGTGCAACAAAGCTGCTTGCAAACTAGGATAACACCAAAACTCCAAAGCCATACATTGACTGGTTTTCCTTCTCGACTGATGGAAAAGCAAGTGTTTTTCACGAAGACGGCGCAGGGCTCTTGCTCACGATGGCATCGAGCATCATCGAGACATGAGACATGTGCCTTGACTTGACTTAAATCCCAAGCTTCATCGCATGGGAGTGCAGTTGCAATCTGATCTTGAACAGTGTTGACTTATATTGATGAAGCCAAGGAATGGACAAATGGTGAATCGCGTTAAGCGATTGGCAGAAGCGTGCTTCATGCCGCGCTTCAAAAGTTGAGTTTGCGGGTGGAGCCCCTAGTAGCGTCCTTTGCTCCTAGTAGCGATGCCAGGAGCCCATAGTAGCGAACATTGCTCCTAGTAGTTTCTCGTGTGTGAGTTTCATTGTGTGAAACCGAGTCCTTTTTCTTGTGACGCTGGCTTTGCTAGCTTTGCTGCGGTTCTTTCCAGCCTTGATTGCCTATACCAGGATGTTCGTTTACCCAGCTTACCTTCAACATTCTTTCGAATTTGAGTGTGATTCTCAAGCTGATCCAACCGTTAGCACAGGTCGTGCCCAATCTGAAGGTGAAGTTTTGATGACAGAGTTCCAAGATACTGTTATCGACATATTGGAAAACAAGAAAACACATTTCCCCAAAAGTTGGCCCCCAAGGTTTCTCCCTAGGAATCAGCCCTTTTGGTACAAGAAGTATTCTTGGATTCCAAAGGTGCGAAAAAGTCTTCATCAGAGACAAGACAACCTTCACAGTTTTGAAAGAAAACTTGGAGGCCATCGCAAGTAGTTTTGAAAGAACACTTGCATGGTGTGGAGTGACTGAGTCATGTCATGTCATTGAGTTCGCAATGGAGTTGTCAGCAGTGGCCCTTCATTGTGCAAGCGATGACCATCCTGGTCCTTGCGTCAATCGCGCTGCTGGTGACTATGGCTATACGTTTCATCGCTTGCGAAACTTCCATGAGAGAGATGAGAGGGTCATCCAGATCCCAAATTGCCTTGGAAGGATTGCCACATCATTTGGCACCTGCACTTGGCCATGTGGAAGATGCAGAAGACACAAATCTGACATCGAAAAAGACCTGCTTGTTTACGATCTCAGCCTTCAACAACTATGGCTTTGTTAAATCTTTTCTAAAGCGGCTGCAAAAGCTACATCCAGACTTGCTTTGCTTGGTCTGGGTTGTGGCAGACAACATTCAAGATTGGGCGCCAAATGGAATGAAAAACCTGACTTCAGAGATTTTGTATGATGTTCAGCAGCAGCCCCTTCCATGGCATGTTGTGACAGTTGATCAACTGCAACCCTACTTGGGTGATTTTAGCTATGCAGAGTTGGCCTTTCGCTACGACATGGTTTGCTTTAACACAGCACTGAAGCCAGCGGCCTTCAAGTATATTTTTCATGAGTTTGGGGCTGGGAAGGTCTTGTTTTTCGACAACGACATTTGGATTTTGCAACCGGTGACAGCTCTCATTGACGCGCTCGACCACTATAGTCTTGTTCTCACTCCACACAGCACACAGCCATTCCCGTTGGATGGTTTCAAGCAGGACGAGAGAGATGTCGTTTTTGTTCTGGTATCGCATAGGCAGCTAGAAGAGGTTGAAGAGGAGAGATAGCTTAGAAGTAGCTATCGAGGAAATGCTACTACTAGATACGGGATACGGACGTCAGGTGGGAATTTCCATCGAGAACCCGCATTGACGAACGGTTTCTCGAGTTTCTTTTCGTTTCTTTTTTCTCTCGGCAGGACGAACGCAACATCATGCTTGCCGGTCAGTTCAACTTCGGCTTTGTTGGCATGGCCGCAACCGAGACAACGTTCGAATGGCTGGAGTATTGGAATCGCCGCCTTCGCTTCTACGGATTTGCAAGACCCAACGAAGGGATGCATTTTGATCAAAACTGGGCAAATTTCATCGTTTCCTATTTTCCGCAGAGCAAGTACCTCATTTGGCGGGATCCTCGCTACAATGTTGCGTACTGGAATTTGCACTATCGAGGTGTTCATCTTCATATGGTGGAGGATCAAGTAATGTACGACCAAGATCCAGTTGTTTTCATGCATTTCTCAGGCATGTCGGACCTTCTGAATTACAACATCGAATCAATCTCACGGCATCAGAACCGTTTTTCTATGGCAGACTTTCCCAGACTACGTCCAATCTTTGAGAAGTATCTTGAGATGCTGAGAGCTGAAGATGCCATGCGCTGGCGACATGTACCATATGGCTTTTGTTGCTTTGATGATGGAACGGATGTTCCACAAGTCGTGCGCAATTTCTATGCCGAGGTGTTGGATCCCGGAACGCAAAGCGGGGATTTGGCCTTGATCAATGGCTTCAAAGAGCGTGTTGCTTTCGATTCCCCATTTGTGAATGGAGACTCAAACTCCAAGGTATCTTTGCTTCGCTGGATGTGGCAACCCGTTCACCATCCCAACAAACATATACCCTCTTGGTGGCCGGAAATTATATGGCAGATCTACTATCAGAGAAAGGATCTTCAATCAAGATATCCGGATGTGCTTGGCAAAGATTCCAAGCGCTTGTTTCGCTGGTTCCAGAAACGTGGAATCAAAGAGTATCACCTTGACGAAGAACGGATGTTGTCCTTTTTCGATCGAGCAAGCAGGCAGTCAAAAGGCCTTTTTGTTGTGCATCGGTTGGAGGCCATCGCTCTTCGGTTGGAGGCCCATCCCTATTAGGCTACTCAATTCAATTTGGAGTCCAACTTTGCAAACCATGGAAGTGTTGTGCTTGTTTGTTTGACGCAGTCAGGTGGCTCGAGTGCTGATGATCCATGTCGCTGACTTTAGACCAATTCCTTGTAGCACAGCAGAACCCGAAGGTTTGCCGCAACCCGAACGCATAAATCTGGCTTTGCACGAATTTGCATGAATTTGTCAAGGGTCATTGTTGTCTGCAGCCAGAAAGTTGGACGACATGGTGGCCTCTGCATCCCATCGTATTGGTCTACCACCGCATTGGTCTACGCATAAAAAGAAAAACATCGCATTGACAAAAGGAGCGTAGCCTCCTCCAAGTGTTCTGCTGTGGCATGAGCGGCAGGCAAACCTGCGATGTGTGCAGATCTTGGCAAGTCTACAGAGTCTACAGATGACAAATACATGAGATGACAAATAGATGCTTCTAGGTTGGAGGCCATGGCCATCGCTAGTAGGTTGTCATTCTGAGTACAGGAACCTATCTCGTAACTGGACAGTCGTGGCGCTTCCTTGCGGCTAGTAGCTTCTTGTTCCTAGTAGCGATGGCCTCCAACCTAGCAGCTTCTTGTCCCGGATAGTAATGCCCTTGCTGCTCTTTGCTTTTAGTAGACCTCTTGTGGTCGATTGGTTTGAACCGTTTGTGCGAGCATGGAACCTTGTGTAGCAGCCTTCTGCCAGTGTCTAAGTCCACATGCACAACAGGCCTAAATTAGATTATGGACTAGTCATTTCCATCAATGACTTCTCAAACAACTTTGTGAAGTGCACCAAAGACAACGTACAAAGCGACAAACTATGACTGATCCTTGATCGTGGACACGGCGTTGACATACAGGTTTGCTGCCTTATGTACTGTATTAGGTTGGAGGCCATCGCCATTATATAAACAGTGAGCTCCAAGGAGGATTGTGGTGTGCAAGAGCTCCAGCAAAAAGCGCACCACCGGGCCTCGGGCGTTTGCAACGAGGTTGGAGATCATCGCCAGTAGGTTGGAGGCCATCGCTAGTAGGTTGGAGGCTATCGCCCTTACAAACCATTCACGCCAACCTTTTTGCACTCCATGACTTTGCATGTTTGGACCGGGGCCTGTTTGATGTGTCCCTTGACCAACCGGTCTCACCGCAACACTGAGGACTTGAAGATCGTATTTTTGAATCTGTAGAGCGAAGATCGATATTCATCCGACACATCCCGTATTTTTGAGCAGCACGTCATTTACAAATAAAGGACATAAACCAGTTTTCTTTTAGGTATGAATGCTATTTCTGTCACCTGGTTGTGTGGGAGCTTTCCAGGTGCGTAGTAGGACCCGAGCAGGTGAACGCAAGACCTTTCATATGCTTTGCTGATTCTTCCAGGTGCATTGTACCAAGCGCTTGGTGTCTCACGCTCTGCCTCGAGAGAGACCATCCGGCTGGCGTGCCCCTATGTTTTTTGTTTCCAAGAGCGATGGCCTCCAACCTAAGAGCCCCCAGTAACGATGGCCTCCAGTACTTAATGTGGATCTAGTAGCATTTCGTTTAGAGAACTTTCTTTGTTTCCCGTTGGTCTAGCCGCCTGGCCTCTTTAGCTTAGCAGCTTCGCCCCACTGATTGCAACCTTAAGTTTCCCTAAAAGTCCAATTCACTAGTGCGAGCTATCCTGCATCCTAAGTAGGAACTACTTAAGCTACTAGCTACCTAGCTACTACTAGCTACCTAACTCTACTAGCGGCCTACATCCCCCGGGCTTTTAAACAAAATCTCGCCAGAATCACTGTTGTGGCGGCGGCGCTGGGCGACTGTCATCGACTCGGGAACTGGTCACAGGTACTTGCGCCTTGCAAAGCAATTACACCCAGATGTGAACAAGGTGCTTGAGTTGATGGCGAAGAAGTAAACGCACGAGTTTCAAAAGATTAAGCACGGTACCGTGTCTGGTCATATTGAAGCACAGTATCTATTGAACCTGGGTTTAATTCCTTGCAGCCGAGTCTCAGGACAGCAGTTGGAAGTGGAGGTTTATTCTTATGGCATTCCGCGGAATTAGCTTCTGATCTAATTCCTTTTTTGTGGTGTGGCATTTGTCTCATACCTTTGTGTTGAAGGAATTAAATCAGGAGATAATTACCTTAGCTTTTGCGCATATGTTTGCGACCAATCGCAAATAGCTCACAGCAGGGTGGGCAGCAATGAAGTGCCACTTGTTTGCCGTTGTATCATGCCTTGCGCACACTTCGGTGATTTACCGGCGTGCAGCTCATGAGGGAGTGTCAAGGGAGGCATCATTTGATGGAGTCAGAAGATGGGGTGGCAGCTGAGGTTGCCCAAGAGGGTTGGCAAGAGCATCATCAGATTGTGCCTGCTCTGGAAGGCGAGATGCCAGAGCCCCTGCATTGAAAGTCCACCAGAGGTCGTGAAGAAAAGCAATGGCAAGTACGTGGACATTAGCTCTACTCAGGCCTTGGATTGGCTTTCTGGGAGAAAGGCTCCTCTATGTAGGTCAGTTCTTGAGTTTTTCAGACACACGTGGACTTCGAGAGTGTGGGTTGTGAAGATGACTTGCCTTAGGCACCTTTTCCCCTTCTGCGTATATTGTTGCGTGTGACGCGGATCAAGTGGCATCATGCCCGCTACTCGTGCAGATGGAACGAGACTTCTGAGCGCCAGGAAGCTTGGCAGGTCAAGAACTTCAGTCTTCAAAGGCGCAAAAAGGACGACGTCCTTCGTCCAGTCGCCCCAGGTACACTGAAGATTGATGCGCCATCCGGTCTGGTGAGGGAGAGTGAAGCGCGAGTGACTTTCTATTGTCCGGACCGAGCCTGAGCAGCAGCTAGCAAAACTGCATGTGTGTGACGCCGCGTGTGACGAATGACAAGTCTTTAGACCCTTGCAGCCATCGGTCCAGTGGGTTTACACGTGGAGGGCGGCCAGAAGCCCAGCGTGCGTTTGCGCGCTGTTACCGACTCGTCGACGCCTACGGAATTGTGCTGGTAGATGGGTACTTCGACTGCTTTGTTTTGAAGTCTGACAGTCTGCCCGAAAATTTTTCAGCGGTGAGGAAATTAAGCAGCCAGTCTCTTTGCACTAGTGCTTGAAGCAAAACTTTGAGCCGAACCCCGGAAACGAGATGCTGCAAGTGTCCTTCTTCGCCTTTGCAGCGCAGAGTTAATGCCGATCCTGGCGGAGTTGGTTCACTGGTCAGAACCTTGGCCTTCAAGATCAGTTTGCTACCCGAACTCGCAACCGAGTGCTCACCTGATAAAATTTCAGCAATGGGGTTCAGAAATCTTGCATCCTAAAGCTCGCCGAGAAACTTTGGCACACCACTTAGGCCAAGAAATCTTGCAACCTAAAGCTCGCCCGCAAAATTTTGGGCGCCCGTTAGGTCCAGAAATCTTGCAACCTCTAGCTCGCCCGCAAAATTTTGCGCGCCCGCTAAGTTCAAAAAGTGTAAAACCTATAACTCACCCGCCACACTTTCAGCGCTCGTTAGGTTCAAAAATCTTGCGACCTACAGCTCCCCCGCAAAAAGACACCAGTTAGGTCCAGAAATCTTTCAGCCGAAAGCTCACCAGCCAAATTTGGAGCACCTCTTCCGTCCAGAAATCTTCCAACTTCAAGCTCGCCCGAAAATTTTGGGGCACCAGTTGAGCCCAGAGATCTTGCAACCTGAAGCTCGCCCGAGAAAACTTTTGAGCACCAGTTAGGTTCAGAAATCTTCCATCCTAAAGCTTGCCCAGACACTTTAGTTGGGCCAAGAAACTTTGCAACCTAAAGCTCACCCGAAAAAATGGGAGCTCCAGTTCGATCCAGAAATCTTGCAACCTACCGCTCCCCCGCAAAACATTGAAGTTAGGTCCAGCAATCTTGCGACCCAAAGCTCACCCGCAAAAAATTGAGCGCCCGGCCAAAAATGAGCACTAGTTAGGTTCAGAAATCTTTCATCCTCGAGTTTACTCACAAACTTTTGAACGCCAGTTGGGCCAGGGAATCTTGCAACCTAGACCCGCAGGGGCAGCGCACAGCGCCGCCAACGCGCGATCCACAGAGCCGCAGAAGACCTACAACGCACACACAGAGATATTCATTACGCGCACGGCAACGCAACATCCGGCGAACGCGCGTGAAACTGTTAGCGAACAGCAAAAAGCTGTTAATTCCAAACTTTTCCCACAAACTTGAACACGAAACACGACAAGTTCGGTAACTTAAATAGATTGTCCGGCTTTCCTCTTGAGTTCTGTCTTTGAGACTCAACTACTTCTGGAAGTTATGCATAGTTATAGTTATAAGTACAGCACCTGGGAAGTTATACATAGTCTTAGTTATAACTACGTATAAGTACAGTACCTTAGTTATATCTTCGCGATCGTACGTGAGCGGAGGTTCGAGGTGACATAAGTTATAAGTTGTGTTTTAAAAGCCCATAACTAACTTGTATCTAAGTTATAAGTTCTACTCACTCTGTGACCTGCGTTCCGCTTTTCGGGGTCCGCCTTGTCCAGGTCGAAGTGGATGATGAGCCTCCTCCAGTTGCCGTTCCTGACTCTCTACAGGGGTCGTCGCTGAGGGTGGTTCATGGAGGGAAGAAAAAGGGCGCGCGCGCTCACACGCGCTAGGTTATGCCACTCCCACGCCCGTTTTCGTCTTGATGCTTCGTTTTTCGCAGATGTTTGGGAGTTCACTCGGTCTACCGCGGCCATGCCGCTGCCCACCGCCGAGGCCAGGCCGTTCCTTACACCGACGCCTACTGTAACTCTTTAGTTTGTGCCACCACCGCACTGTCTTCCCACGGCCCTCCGATCGAGCATTTTTTCATATTTTTGGAGTACCTCCATTAGACTGACTCCTCTCTACTTGTCGCTCCGCCGCCCCCTGCCGCATCCGCTTTCATGGCCGGCGTGGCAGCGCTTCAGGCCTTCATCTTTCCAGGCAACGCTGCGCAACAACTGGCCTGTGAGGCTCCTTTTCGATCACCTTCACCGCCCTATTTCCTTCAACTCCTGGCAAGTCCTCTACTCTCGGGCACATCGTCAACAGCCACCACTCCTTCCTTTGCTTTCGCACCATCAGCTTGCTCGGGCACACTACGGGCTTGCCGCCAAATCTCCTCGCACGCTGACTTGCGATGACGTTGCTGCTGGGGTGGCCACCGCACTTGGTGTGCTGCCTGCTCCTCCTGCCCGCCCCGTGGTGCCTCGCCTCCGCCCATGGCGTCAGCTCCGCTGCCGCCGCAAGACTCTTTGCAATGTTCTCAGCCGCCGCGTTGCCACCTTGCGCGCCCTCATATGGACTTGCTTCTGCTTCGCCTGCAAACCAACGCTCACACTGTCTCACCCAACAGTCTGGCCAACCTGCGCCCTTGCCCGCCTCGGCGCAGTCACCCAACAGAGTGACCTACAGGCGGCACGGTGATACGCCTGTTTCCAGCCGTGCAGAAAAGAGCGAATACACTGTGTCGTTGCCATGCTTGTTCTTTTCTTTCCATGCGTCCTCCTGCTTCGTGTCCGTGCATTTCCTGCTGTGCGTAGCTTTTGGCCCAAGCTCCTGCAATCTGCAAGTTCACACTGTGAGCCGCCTTTGCACTTCCTTGTGGACATTTTATTTCATGGACACTTTTATGTGCTCCTCTCTCTCCCTGGCCACAACCCCTTGGAATGACTCCCACTAACTTTGTCGCCGGAGAGTGCAGACTCATAACCACACACTCGTGATATGCATCTGATTGAACAACCGTGTCATGACTAGGACTCCCACCCATCCATAACCACGACATCCTTGAAACCAACCTCCCACACGTTTCCGGCGTAGCCACGCTGTTCGGAAGCTCGGCCTGCCCCTTAGTATGCTGCCGGGCTAAAACCCATTTATCTACATGACTCCCAATGAAGTGCTTTATCGCCGGCTAGTACACACTCATGGCCACACTCTAGTGACATGACTCTGACAAGCCTTCGTGACTAGGGCTCCAACACATCCATGAACACGACACCCCTTCAATACACCTCCCACCTGTGTCCCGTATAGCTACTACCTGGGTCGCAAGCTCAGCCTTTCCTGTTTACTGTGCTGCATGAACTTTCCTGGTCGAGGTCTCTAGGTTTCACGTCGCTTGCGCTCTCCTGTCGTCGTGCGCCGTCGTCCGACTCTTTTTTTTCTTTCCTCCTTCTACACTCAGGTCGTTCTCTTGGCTGCCATGCCCCGCTTCCACTTGCAGGACGGTCGTTCCCACTGTTCGGTTTCCATCCACGCCGCTTGTGCTCCTGCGGCGCGTGCGCAGTACCGCACCTTGCAGGCCCATGTCGCTGGCCTTTGGACATCTCGGCAATGGAGGCCATCGTGGCTGCCTTTGGGTGCAAAACTTCTCCACCGAGTCTCACGTCGCCAGTGCAGCCACCTACGTCAATGATCGATGCTATGCCCGACAGCGCATCAAAACCCGATCGAGTCCCCGTCACCTTCTGTCTCACTGCCACTGTGCTCTTCGAATCGCATCTGGCCAGCCCCGGCTGTCCACGACGACTCCCTTGGCTGAAGCCCGTGCCTTCTTCCGTGAAGCGCTCCTGCTGGGCGACCGCCGCTTTCCCGCCGTCCGCTACCGCGGCCGCGTCTTTGCGCTTTCTGCTGCTTTTGCGCAAGCGCCTATCCAAGCTTTGCTCTCTGCTCTTAGCCTGCCCTTGCGTTCAAAACAACTCGTTGCCCTTGCCCTGCTTCGCTCGTCTTTGGCTTGCTTTGCAGGCTCAATTTGACGCCGCGGCTGATACGCCGCCCTTTTGTTTGACTTCCGACTTCCGGCGTCAGTCTTGCGCCGTCCCCCCGACCCGTGCTCTGGACGCAGCTTTGGCCCTTGCGCCCTTGCAGCAGTGTCTCGCCCCTGAGAAGTGAGGCCATGTCTCCGTGGCTTCTGCGCTCGTTGGGCTCTGGCTTCAGTCCCACAGCGCGGGCTCTTGCCCCCCTGGCCCCGCCCAAGCCGTCCTCGCCTTGGGTCTTGATGATCTTCTTTCCGCCACGGCGTATACTTGCAGCGCTATCGGAGTCGCCTGCCGGAAGCTTTACCTTCTACTTTTGTCGGCCTCTCTATGGCCGACTTGGGTAGCCACTCGGTGCCGGCGCCGACCGATGTCGTCTCGCAGCCCGCCCCTGCCTCTCCAGATCGTTGGCTCCTCTATTATCTGCATACACCAGAGGCCAAAACTTCTTGGCAAGCTGCTGCCGGTTCCTCCACGTCCCTCTTCTGGCGCACCTTTGTTCGCATTGCTGCGACGCCCTCCAATTGCCGCGGTGCACTCTGCCCGGACGTGCCCTGGCCAATGACAACCTTCGTATCCCCTTGGCCACCTCTTTGCGTGACCTCACGCCCGCAGAGCTCATGTTTCTCGCTCGCGGCCACACCGTCTGTCCCTTGCGTACTTTGCCCGCGCGCGGCCCTCCCAAGGCTCGACAACGTGCTTTGTTTGGCAATGTGGTCTGCTTTCTGCAGGATTCTGCCGGCGTCGTCCGTTCACTGCCACGCTCGCCGGCTGCCTTGCCTGAATTCCTTCATGTCTTCTATCTGCCCGAAGGCGTGACGGCTCTCCACGCCTGTCCTGAATTCCTCGTCCGTCTTGCGCGCGTGCAAGCTGGGCTTGAGTGGCTCCAAACTCACTTCGACCCCATGCCTGGCAGAGTTACCCACTGAGGGTGCGCCGGACGTCCTGACGCGCGGCTCAACCCTTGCCAGATGGCCTCCTCGCCCCTGACGCTGGCCCGGAGCCAGCCCCTGCGCTCTCTCTCCGCTGCTGTGTTGGAGTCAGCCCACTCCCTCACACTCGGGCAGCGAGCCTTGACTGCAGCCGATGACGGTGCAGTCGCTTGCGTCCGCTCACGCCGTACTTTCCTCCAGCTCTGTCTCTGGCGTGCTCGACGCTGCTGCTGCTGCTGCTGCTTTGCTGGAGCGTTCTCCTCCTACAGCGCCTTCGCGCCAGCCCGATGCGTCGCCCTTGTGCGCTGTGGTTCCACACGGCAGCACTCCTTTGAGCGCCTTCGACCAGCTTATTGGTGGACGAAGACACGCGAGCACTTGGGCCCCCCACATGCGGCATTATCAAAAAAATATTGATCGAATCAAAAAAAATATTTACCGAATCAAAAAAATATATTTACTGAATCAGTAAAAAATATTCATTGTGCGATGAAATTATTTGGAATTCCCAGTCGTGTAGGTGGCCGGTCCTCTGGTCTGGTCCCCTGGTCCTCTGGTCCCCTGCTCCGCTGGTCCTCTGGTCCGCTGGTCCCCTCCAGGCCGCTGGTCCACACTGGTCCGCTAGTCCCTTGGTCTTCTGGTCCTTCGTCTTTCTTTCTTTCTTTCTTTTTCGCAGCTGTTCTCCTTTCTCTTTTTGCTTTTGAATTTTGCTTTTCCTTTTGTTCGCTTTGCAGAGACGAAACCAAACAAGGAAGCAAGCAAGCGCGAGCTGCTCACCTTTGGATCTGGTGTGCTGCTGGGGGGGGGGCTGCGCCCCCCCCCCCAACCTCCCCCCGCCACGAAATCTGCACTTCATCCCCAACACCCGCGCCTGCCACGAAATCAATATTTTGAGGTGAACTCCCCGGTGCAAAATTTTCTAACCAAGCAAATATGCCTCCTCTATCGACTCTATCTGTCTATCTATCTATCCATCTATCGATCTATCTATCGATCTATCTATCTATCGATCCATTTATCGATCCATTTATCTTTCTATCTTTGTATCTGTCTATCTGCAGTTCAACATCCACAAAGTACTACACCTGCCACGAAATCTGCACTTCAAGGTCCACAAAGTCTTGCGCCTGCCACCAAATCTGCACTCCAAGGCCCACAAAGTCCTGCACCTGCCACCAACTCTACACTTCCACATCAAAAAGTCCTGCGCCTGCCACGAAATCTGCACTCCAAGGCCCACAAAGTCCTGCACCGGCCACCAATTCTGCACTTCCACATCCACAAAGTCCTGCACCTGCCACGAAATCTGCACTTCAAGGTCCACGAAAAAGTCCTGCACCTGCCACGAAATCTGCACTTCAAGGTCCACAAAAAAGTCCTGCACCTGCCACGAAATCTGCGCTTCAAGGTCCACAAAGTCCTGCGCCTGCCACGAAATCTGCACTCCAAGGGCCACAAAGTAAGTACTACACCTGCCACGAAATCTGCACTTCAAGGTCCAAAAAAAGTCCTGCGCCTGCCACTGGCCACCAACTCTGCACTTCAACGTCCACAAAGTCCTGCACCTGCCACGAAATGTGCATTGCAAGGTCCACAAAGTACTGCACCTGCCACAAAACACTGCGACTACCACTGCGATACTGCTGCTATTATAGTACTGTTGCTACTTTTACTGCTAGTGCTATTTGGAATATTTTTTTTTTTTGATACGTTATTTTTTTTTATTGATACGTGTAGAATATTTTTTTATTGATACGTTAAATATATTTTTTTAATCTTTCACCCCCCACATGCCTGAAGATTTCCCCAACAGTGAATCTAACACTCACAAGGAACAAACACCAGATCGAATTCTACCCACATGGCCCACGTGGACCTCTTCCAAGAAAAGAAGAGCTCCTGGAGGAATAGAAATTGGATCCAGTTCCACGCGCGGAAGAGAAAACAATCCCTTTCAATCCAATTTTGCCCCCCGCATCGTCTTCAGCTTCCAGCAGCTTACTGGCATTGAGTCAATGACCGATATAAGTGGAACACATTGAAGCCCCCACATGGTACTTACAACAAAAAGCCAGGATTGAAAACGAACATTTGGACTTTCATTCCTGATCACTGCAGGATTTGGACCTAACTCTTTGCGACTCCTGTTTTCACTCCCTTCCTTCAATGGCCTACATTTTTATGATTGCTACTTCTGTTGACCTTTTTGTTTTATTTCTATTATTCTTTTCTCTCTCTCTCTCTCTCTTTCTCTTTCTCTCTCTTTTACTTTTTGCGAACAAGGTGCTTGAATGGACGGCTGCATCTTTCTAATGGTTTTTTGTTGAGAAAACATCACGAACCTGTTTGCGGGGGCAGGACGACGGGGCTGAGTGGGAGTGGGCGAAAAGGATGGGGGTATCCATTTTTCAATTGAAAAGGTTTTTGTTACCACTTGTTTCACAGTCTTTATATAGGTGTTGGTTTCAAGTGCTCTTTACTTACTGCTATCACTACCACTACCACGCCACGACGACAGTCCTGCTGCGACTGTTACAGCTACTACAACCAATAAAGATGCCTCATGACTGAATTCCTGATCTCCATATCTTGTGGATCATCTTCTGCCAGGCGCCCAACGCGGAGCAAAACTTTCAGCGAGTTCGCGATGCCTATGAGGCCGAGATGAACATGGATTTTTTTTGAGGTGGAAAAAACACGAAACAAACAAACCAAAATCTTTCAGAATGGTATTGCAAGGTCTCGGATTTGTGGACACAGTGTGTGACCCTAAAGGTTGCCGGAAAGGTTGCGAGGCTTTCCGGACAGTTTAAAGCATGTCATGACAAGTGTGACACCCCCGCTAGTAAAATTAGCGCGGACATGTACATGCGAGGTAGATGCGGACAACATGAACGGTGAACAATGCATGCACATCATTACTTGCATGTGCGGCTCAGTCATGATATGGGGTCGAACACTACAATGGGTTTCGATTCTGAAGAGACACCCAGAGATCACCGTTGAAGATTGCCCGCTGGTCAATCGATACTTCGGGTAGCGCGTTCTCTATTGTAGGTACAGTATCTGGCAGCACCGGCAACACGGTGTGAAACTGCCGCCTTGCACCGGATGTGAAGGTAGGACCAAAGCCCAGGGATTGCCGGAATACCTATAGGATAGAGGGGAGTGCTTCCAAGTGCTCTCCCACGATGCGGCAAGCTTGACTGCCCGAAAGGCGTACCGATCCCGGGAGGAGAGTTGGAACGTTAATGCCAGTTCAACAAATGAGATTCTGTGGCTTGTTGCGGGGAATGTAAGGTTTGTGTCTGCGTTCTGTCAACTTCCGATAAACATTCTCTCTAGAGTTTCTGTGTGAGGCCTGGGCCGCTTCCCAAATCTTGGCATTTGTTACATGTTGTAGGGCTTTGGTCCATTCTATTTTTTTGTCCGTCTCAATCCTCATCCTGCAGGTTCTTTCTGACGATTCCCGCCGGCGTGAGTATGACCGGCAGCTAACTCCGCAGCACAGCTGGCATGTGGAGCTTGTTTTGAGCACAGCTAGGAGCAAGGGACGCTACTAGGAACAAGTGCATCGCTTCTAGTAACAAGTGCCTTACTAGTAGTAACAAGGACTCTACTAGGGTCCTGGCCTTATGGCGCTGTTTTGCTTCCACTTGGGCCAGGTCGGGCCCGAGGGTCACTCGAACTCACTACTATCGCTGGCAGCCAGGAGGCATGCCTCGTGTGGAAGCCGAGTGATGCCAACACGGACCAGAGGGAAGGTTCTTCTTTCTTTCATCCTCTTTAGCGGAGAACCAGAGATGTGGAGGCTAGGGGGCCAACTGGGGAGAGACACAAGCTGGCACAAATTTTGAATTTTTCCTTTTGACCTGGCACAAAGTGGGATGACTCCAGTCCGTCAGCACGTTTTCAATTGTTCTGGGACTGCTTTTGGGAAAAAAGAGTTCTCTTACTTTTCAGGTTGCAAGTATCAGTATCACTTTTTGTGTGAAGCAAGTGCGACGATGGACAGATTGACGTTACGACCGTTACGACAGACTAGCTCATTTCACGAGGTACACAGGGTGGGTTTACCAACGAGGCGAGAAACTGTTGTTCTCTTTCATCAGATACCTTTTTCTCATTCAGAGACCACATGTTTCTTGCATGCCGTAAAGTGTTTTGCAATAGACGGCAAATGTTTTGAATGTTCGGAGAATCTGTGTTTTTTTTCTTTGAGGGTGGGCCCACCCAATGGTGATGGGTCGAGTTGTATAGAGAAAACCTTGATTGAAGTTCAGTTTCCCAAAGAATCTAGGAATCAAATCATTCTGCCTGAACCCATTTGCGTCCTAGCAAAAGAAACTACGCAGCTACCATGTACTAGCTTCACTACCTACTTAGTAGACACTACTCCCGGCCTAAAAGACAAAGGCCTGAAATGGCCTACAACCTGGTTACCTCCAACCTAGCAGCAAAGAGCAAAAAGAGGCAATAAGAAGCTACTAGGAACAAAGGGCATCGCTACTAGGAGCAAGAAGCGCTCCTGGCCTTACTGCTAGGAGCAAGGACGCTACTAGGGGCTGGCATCGCTACTAGGAGCATTCTTACGACTAGTAAGAAGCGACTGGTAGCTCCTGGCGCAAGAAAGAAGACGGGTCGAACGGTCCACCGATGGCCAGGAAGCAGCCAGAGCTCGACAGGAGCACGAGGCCAGAGGTACTTGTGGCAAGACATCCAAGTTCGACAAATAATGATAATTCTGCACGGAATGGGCACTTTTTTCCGCTTCTAAAGGAAAACACATAAAAGAACGCCAACAAAAACTATGAACGCAAAAAAGAACACAACACAGGTTGAAAGGTGTTGAAAGAAGCTACTAGTAATAAGTGCATCGCTACTAGTAACAAGTGCCTTACTAGTAGTAACAAGAAGCTATTAGAAACAAGTGCATCGCTACTAGTAACACATATGGAGCGTAAAACTTGGTGGAGCCTCAAGACCTTGTCTTGGAAGAAGAACACTCCAAGACGAAAAGGTCTTTTGAGGAATTTCTGAACAAAAGCGGTCTAGTTTCATTCTTCAGATAGCGAGCTTCTTCTTTTTCTCACTTCAAGTACAGGAAGCAGTGCTTGTGTGTGATTTGGAGCTTGGGTGCTGGTGTGGCTGCAGGGTCATCTATGGCAGTGGAGCCTGGGTGCTGGTGCCGCTGCAGCGTGCTGCTGCTGCCGCCCACAAATAGCTGTTGCTATCTTGTGTTGCTTCTTGTTACTACTAGTAAGGCACCTGTTACTACTAGCGATGCACTTGTTCTTAGTAGCTTCTTGTTACTACTAGTAAGGCACTTGTTACTAGTAGCGATGCACTTGTTACTAGTAGCTTCTCTGGGGTCTATGCGGGCGTAATGTTCTTGAATTGATGAAGGCTTACAAGGCCCGCTTCCATTTGAAAAATTTGCACCACCACTTTTTTCACCAAGTCTTTGCCCTCTTCATCTAGATCTGCTGGCTACGGTGGAGTTTTTGCCGTGTTTCTCTGATTCGGACTCTTACTTAGGAGTGTTTTGTTGGACCTTCAATTGAGACTGCTGCATCCTTGTATATGTGTCAAAAATCTGTGACATCCGCTGGCTTAGAGAGTAGTTGGACGAACACTTCCAAAGTGATTCTCCAAGCCTTCTCTTGCCTGAGCTGGAACGTTTGTAGCGAAAGGTGGAAAGCCTCTTGCAAAACTAGAAACCAACCTGATAGCCAAACTGAAGTGCAGTGAACTTTCACAAGAATCCACACGCGTTCTATGCCCCTTAGCGCTCGAGCTGGTTCACTTGCTTGCGGCGCCTTTGTGACACGCTGGTGTTCAATTTGAAGGCATATCCAAACGGACAATTGCAGTCTGGGAAGCTCGAAGCAGTCAGTCAAATGGCACTTGAAGAATGATACTTGTATCAATTACTCCACATTTGTACCTTGTAACTGATTCCAAAAAGCCAATACAGAGACCTGTTGCGGTCGCATCTGGGAAAAGGTGTGATCACCATCGTATGATTCATACCTTCTTGTTGGATTCTAGAGCAAAGTATGACGACCTGACATTTCGGGACCGTTTGGTCTTATTGTGAAGCGCTAGCTTTTGTTCCGGATCCGGATCTGTGGTGTGGAGATGTTGTTGTGCTCTTTCGAAGAAAAGCTGACCCATTCAAGGTCCTTGTTTCAATGAAGTAGCTGCAAATATGGTTGGCAGAAAACTGCCGACTAACTGCACTGTAAAGACTTTCGGAGGTCTCAGGTCTAAACATGATTACTACAAGTGAGCAAGGACGCTACTAGGGGCTCCTGGCATCGCTCCTAGGAAGAAGCTACTAGGGGCTCATTTTTTTTGGATCCCCAGACCTACGACCCAGAAATTGTTCTCAAAGAATCCTGCCTTCCGGTTTCAACGACAATCGTGTTGCAAGAAATCCCCATGAATGTTTTTTAATCCTTCTATTCGCAGAAAGAGCTATTTGAGGCAACAACGCGTTTTGTTGCTCGTTGGGGCGCAAACCACATTCAATATACATATATATTTAGACAAGCGGTACTGAGGTTACTGTTGTAGTTTCGATCATGCGAAGGGTTCTTCCAGCTTAGGCTGCGAGTAGGGAGGTAATAGCTTCTTGTTACTACTAGTAAGGCACTTGTTACTAGTAGCGATGCACTTGTTCCTAGTAGCGGAGGTGAGTTGCTAGGCTCTGGACGGATAGCTCACGGTTCGCTCTTTTCGCAGAGCTTCCTTGAAGCGGCACTAGGAAGCTTCACAGCGGTTCTTGGCTGCGATGGAAACACTCAAACACCACATAGAAGAGCAAGTTTCCCACCAACACTTCCTTTAGTTACAGTAATTCGTGTACTTTTTTTGCGTGTATTCTTCGCCACGAACACAGAACAGGTAGCCAGCGGTAGCTCAGACGACTTCGCCACGTTTTTCGATCGAAGAGCTCAGACGACTGCAGGAGCTTCGCCGACGAGCTGAAGCGCAGTTCTTCGTGCAGCTGGGAAACTCAGAAACTGAAGTGCAAATCTTTCTTCCTAGAAGCTAGTAGAAACTAGTGCCTTACTAGTAGTAACAAGTGCATCGCTTCTAGTAACAAGTGCCTTATTAGTAGTAACAAGCCCAGGGGGTAGGCCGCTAGTAGAGGTAGGTTAGCTAGAGGTAGTTGGTAGAAGCAAGGTAGCTACTACCTGCAAGTAGCTACTACCTTGGACGCAGGATAGCTCACGCCTCTTCAAGGAAGCTCCCCCCGGGGAAGCTAAAGTGCTGGAGGCCGCTCTTAGGTTGGAGGCCATTGCTTTCCATTACTGGGTAGAGGACGCTACTAGGGGCTCCTGGCCTTACTACTAGGAACAAGAAGCTACTAGGAGCGACATGAGATTTGCCTTCAAGATGTAGGTGCTTAGCAGGCACTGGTTGTGGGTGTCTCTTCTTGCACTACAGTGTAAGCCAGTTGCAAAGCAGGAAGAAAGCGATGGAACAGATGGTGGCTGCAGTAAGTGTGCAGCATTTTTGGTCTTGAGGTTTAACCAGTACCGGTATCGGAGAAGCGGGAAGCTGAGAACGAAGGAACAGCAGAACGCAGTCTTGACAGCTATCAAGACATTCATCACGTGGTTTGGAGTGCCACACCGAGGTTTTGAGTGTTTTTTCAAAAGGAATTATGTTTTGAGAACTTCTCAACTTCTGAGAGGACCCTTAGGAAAGAAAAGGAGAGGAAAAGAAAAAAAGGAAAAGACAGGACAAAGAAAAGAGAGAACAAAGAACACGACAAAAAAGCATGACCCTTTCTTACTTTTCAGAAAGGAAAAGAACGCAGGAAAAGTCTGAAGGTCTCAAGGATGCCAGGAGCCCCTAATAGCGTCCTTACTCCTAGTAGTATGAAAGAAAAGTCTAAGGAGCAAAGAAGAAGAAAAGCAGGACGCAGGACAAGTAAAAGAAGCAGTCTTGTAATCTAAGGCCTTAAGCCGTACTCTCCAACTACTCTTATTTTCAAACATTTAGTGGGTCAGTAGAGTTTTGTTCTTTGCATAAAGATAATATCATACTCAGTTTGAGCGGAGGTCGTTGCTTCTAGGTTGGAGGCCGTTCTCATTTTGAGCGGCTTCAGAATGCCGTAGGAATGCAGATTTTTCTTGTTCCGATTGCCGAGGCTTGTCGGAGTCACTCTTTCGATTTCTGCCGCTGTTTTTGCCAGTTTGGACCGTGATGACCTGAGTGCCGCTCCTCTTGTTTAAGCTTCTTGTTCCTAGTAGCGATGCCAGGAGCCCCTAGTAGTTCTTGTTCCTAGTAGTATGTGCAGCGTGTTTCAATGATTTTCTTTCGATACGCGCAAAGCTCCAACGGGGGGCACTCTTCAGAGTCGTCTGAAAGACAAGTTGGCAAGTAGAACCGACTTGCGGCCGCCGTCGTCGAAGTTACACATCGCTGTAACCAAGGATTTCAAGACTCTAGCGAGAGGGTGGACCCCTTTACTGTGCATTTGCCACCGTGGAAGGGAGCCGAAATGGACATCACTAAACAAACTTCTTTCCAGGTAGGCTTTGTATGGCAAACCCGATGCTACGGACTGGTTGAATGCAGGGCCTCGTACTGATCACGGAAGGTAGCCTCAGAAGAGCAAGGGCACGCGTCTTCGAAACGGCATAGGTGTCAGATCTTAGCGAATTCTTAGATCTTTTTCCCTCGTGTTCTTTCGCTTGGATCTTCTTTGTTTTCGATTGCTCGAGGTCCTGATGCTTTACTCCTTCTACCGTCGGAGCAAGAACATTGAGCAGGGCTCTCCCGCAGGGGCCTAGAAGTGCAGAAAAGCAACGAAAAAGAAGAGGTCATCGCTAGTAGGTTGGAGGCCATCGCTCTTAGGCTGGAGGCCATCGCTACTAGGTGGGAGGCCATTGCTTCTAGGTTGGAGGCCATCGCTAGTAGGTGGGAGGCCATCGCTAATCCTTGCCTGCTGTTGCCTGGAGAAAGAGGTCAATTTGCAGAGAACAGCAACTGTGTTGTCGATTGACCTCAGGAGGTGTGAAAACACATTATACAGATTTCCTGGGCACTGCTTCTGATTGCAATTTCACTGAGTGACAGGCTTTAACTTCATGGGTCATTCTGTCTACAAACCTGTCGTGGCCGTCCCCTTCCAGCCTTCCAGCAGCGTTGCGTCAGTCTGTCCTCAGACGAGTCCACCAAAGCCTTTCACGGAGTTTGGCCTTGTCCATTTGGTGAGGCAGAGAGCTTGCTGTTTGACCAGGAAGGCAAAGCATTTGCACGTGATGCGTATGGCAGGCAAGGCCTGATTGCCATGCTGTTGTCATCGACGAGCTAAGCAACAGCACGGGCCATCCTGATGGCCTCCAACCTAAGAGCTGCCTAGACCAAGACAAATCAGGTAGCGCATCACCAAAGTGAAATCCGCATGAATCGCCCCGAGTTGAATTCTTGTGCACGGTGGGGATAAGGTGTGAACGTCTGAGTATTTTCAAGACGCTTTGCTTTCCTTCTGCGTTTCCTTTGCGTTTGAACTCTTTTTTTGGGACTTGGCAGGCTTCATCGGATGCCTGATTTGGACCGCCAAAGATAGCACTCAGCTTGCAGCCTGAATGGTCAGCGTCAGTTTGCGGAAGACGAACAGCTCTAACTTACAATCCACCCAATCCAACTGAATCCAGTTGTTTCGAAGGTGGAGCTTACAAGCACAATCCTTTGTAAAAAGAATCCCTTTTTGTCCTCCACGGAAAAAGAGCAACCCCTTTACATGACTTCACCTCAAAGAGAGCTGAAACTGCAAAGCTGCAAAGCAACTTTGCACTCCTCAGCATCTTTCAGAGGATCTCCGCAATGACCATTAAGATGCTCAATTTTGAGATTGCAAGACATTGTGGATCTGAATTGATTTAGTGTGCTCCAGCCATTGAGGAGCAAGGTAGTTGTTTTCTGAGAAACTCTGCCCTACTTGGCTTGGAGACACGGCGATTTATGATCCCTTCGAACAGTTTGTGCAGACGGTTTGCCTCTTAGATGGCTTGGTCAATGATTTTCAGCGTGTCGCATCCCTGCGGTACAGTGACAGTGACAAATCTGTCAAAAAGATGTTGCCAAACACAGCCATAGACGGACCATGACTTCTCAACAAACTGAGAAAACCAAAAACAGAACGGAGATTGTCCAACCCCCTCAGCATATGGCACTATCCTTGAACTCCTTTTCATCCTTCGTTTTCTTCATCTCACGATTGTCGATCTTTCTTGAAGAACCTTTGGTCATGTCCTTTATTGAAATTCTAGGAGCAAAGGGCATCGCTACTAAGAGCAAGGACGCTACTAGGGGCTCCTGGCCTTACTGCTAGGAGCAAGAAGCTACTGGGTTGGAGGCCATTGCTAGTAGGGTGGAGGCCATTCCTATTCGATGGAAAGAGACCACGAGCGGATAATCTCCAGAGGTTTTGTGTTTTTTCTGAGAGGGCAGCTGTCCGTGATGTCCGAAACGACAGCGGTTGAAAAACAAAAGACATGAAAAAAGGTACATCTCTTAGGGCTCTTTTTTCAGGGGCCCTCATTAAAAAGATGTTATGAAAACACCTTTTTGCTTCCCCTTTTTGCTTCTCCTTTACAATGGACGCTACGAGGGGCTCCTGGCATCGCTACTAGGAGCAAGGACGCTACAGTGGACGTTGCCGCTTTGCTTCGACGTTCAGTCTCAAACCTTCCCCAGCCACGTCCCTGAAACGGGCCGTGAACGGGGCCGATGGAGCGCGAGCAAAGGCCGCTGGCGCTACGTACCTTGGACAATTCGAGTCGAACATGCAAACACGTTAGAAACGTTTTGAACTAAAGAACACAGTTCTTTATTCTTTACGAAGAAAAAACGTTCGGGTTACTACTCCTTCCTTTTTTTCCAAATAGCGATGGCCTCCAGCGAACGACAGATCTGGTCAGAAACACAGCGACAGGTCAGAGATGTGTGCGTGTTGTACAAGACCCTCTCAGCAGTGCGTTCTTCCAGTGATTGTCGTTCTTCCAGCGTACGTGCGGCACAGAAGCGAGTGGAATACGAGATGTGCGGAGCTTTTCTCCTTACTCTAGAGCATTATGCAGGTGAAAAAAACCATCAAAAGGGACTGGTAATCTATCCTGCTCTAGTGGAAATGCAACGAGATCTGCTTCATCAAAGCTTCTGCACAAGAAACATACAGTTTTGCCGTGGAGGTCAACATGCACACGAGTTGTGCTTTTGGAGCCACCCAAGAAGACCTGCGACGGATCATCATCATATGTCCATGGATGTGCATTCTTGCAAACGGTGAGCCTTTGCGAACCAAAAACAAACCACAACAGCAAGGACGCTACTAGGGGCTCCTGGCATGGCTACTAGGAGCAAGGACGCTACTAGGAACAAGTGCCTTACTAGTAGTAACAAGTGCCACGCTACTAGGAGCAAGGACGCTACTAGGAACAAGTGCATCGCTAGTAGTAACAAGTGCCTTACTAGTAGTAACAAAAAGCTACTAGTAACAAGTTCCTTTGCACCTGAGGAACCACCGCTGGCCCGGTGGACCTTCGACCACCGAGACAGGCGGTGTGCGCAAGTTGAACGGCGGAATTCTGGAGAAAGAGCAAGTGAACTACTAGCTTCTTGTTACTAGTAAGGCACTTGTTACTAGAAGCGATGCCCTTTGTTCCTAGTAGCTTCTTGTTCCTACTAGCTTCTTGTTACTAGTCGTAAGAATGCTCCTAGTAGCGATGCCAGGAGCCCCTAGTAGCTTCTTGTTACTAGTAAGGCCAGGAGCTACCAGTAGCGTCTTGCTGCTAGTAGCGATGCCCTTTATTACTACGCCAATTTCTGTGAATTCCACGAATAGAGTCGTATAGTTTCTGTGCAGGAAAGACGGATCACTCCAATTGATGGAGGAGCTTCAAGAATAATCAAGAAGGAGCGGAGCAGAGCGGAATTGGTTGATGCAAAGATAGCGCCTGTTGGGACCAGCAGAACGGGAAATCAATAGAAGGCATGTTACTACTAGTAAGGCACTTGTTTCTAATAGCTTCTTGTTACTACTAGTAAGGCACTTGTTACTAGTAGCTTCTTGTTACTACTAGTAAGGCACCTGTTACTACTAGCGTGGCACTTGTTACTAGTAGCTTTTGGCTTAAGTAATAGGGGCTCAAAGATTGTTGCTCTAAAGACTAGAGAACAGTTTCACGACATGTCCCAAAACGTATGTGATGAAAACATGCGTTAAAAGCTTAATCAAACGAATAGCGTGAGCTATCCTGCGTGCTGTAGCTAGTAGCGGCTGGCTAGCCCTAGTTGCCCTCACCCTTACTTAACTAAGTAGGCACCTACTTTAATTTAAAAAAGAAACGCACGTTTGTTTCTGGTGCATGTTTGCTTCCCTTTTTCTTCGCCTGTGCAGGGCTGGTTGAAAGATGCGCATGGGGACACTTTCTACCAGAAAACTGTCAAGCAGGCCCGGACTCTACTATGAGCAAAGGGCATCGCTGCTAGGGGCAAAGGACGCTACTAGGGGCTCCTGGCATCGCTTCTAGGAACAAGAAGCTACTAGGGGCTCCTGGCCGTACTACTAGGAGCAATGTTCGCTACTAGGAGCTTTTTGGTAGAACAGCATTGGACGATCCGCACAGTCCAGATGGGACTTGCAAGTTTGCGATTTTGTTCAGTGCTGCAGAGATTTGTGCGAATAGGAAGGGGAAGAAAGTTTGTAGTGGGACACATTCCTTTTTTCTTTAGACTTTCTTTCTTTCTTTCTTCCCTTTCTTTCTTTCTTTCTTTCTTTTCTTTTCTTTCCTTTCGTCATATCTTTCTTTCTTTTCTGATCAGTCTTCCCGTTTTTACAGGAAGGTGACAAGAAGTGCAAACTTGGATGCTTCCGCTTTCTCGGCCTCATGTGCTCTTGATTTTTGAAGCTACTGCTAACATGAAGAAGAGAGAAGCTCAAACAGAAGATGAAAACGCTGTGGAGGCCATGATGATCGCTGCGGAGGAGCTTCGGTTGATGGACGCCAAAGAGCTGTCCGCATACTCTATGGCGACCCCGGAGATCGAGGATATCCAGGTGAGATCGAGGGTGCAACTTGCTATGTCAGATAGGATGAACGATAAGAAATAAGAAGAGGGCAAAGAACCAAGGTGCAAAGGTGCAATGTGTTTTTTTCTTCGATGAGCAACTAGTACGAAAGTATTTTGCAAGGCTAGTAGTGATGGCCTCCAGTCGATTTCCGATGCCAGGAAAGAATCCAGACCCTCCAATCCGGAAATGCTAGATTCACAGTTTCAGGCGGGACCTCGGCTCGTTGAGGTTTGATGCACTGCAGTGCAAGACTACCCTTTCGATTACGTTCCACCTACTTGTTTTTGAGAACCTTGGTCTACAGTCTACAGCGTGTTGAATAGGAGCATCTCCTATCTACCTACATCTACATGTTGGGATGTCATTTGGAAGGAGCTTGGGCACTAAATCTGTGTCAGGCACCAAGAAGAAAAAGCTTCAAAATGTGTCGCAACATCGACAAGATCGCAAGCGAGCTTTGGTTTGCACTAGGTTTGCACTAGGTGTATGAAAGATGTGATGCGTGTGATGTGACTCCTGCTGTTTTTTTGTTTTGCAAGTTGAAGACATTGAAGACATGGAAAACATGACACACGTCTTCGCTTCCCAAAAGCGCAGAGTGCAACTTTCGCTCGGCTCAGAAGGAGACGACAAAGGGCCATAGCTCCATGTAGCTCCATGTAGCTCCATTAAGCCGGCACCGACATCAAAAAGCGGCACATTCTAAAAAAGTAACGCTCAGAAAACGCTTTGTCTGTACATTACACTGTAATATAAAGTAACGAGAGCACCGCAAAAACCTTGCAAATGATGCATAGGCGTACAAAACCCAGCAGGACTCTACAAGTTCCACAGGTTGGAAAGCTCACACGAGTGCTACGCCACTTGTGATGTTTGGCTTGATCCACGAATGGAACGAGCGATCTTGGGTTGAGCTGAGGAGATACTTTAGTGAAGATCTCCAGAAAGCGACCATGTTGCTCCAGGTTGGAAGACGCTGCGATGACCTTTGTTCCTAGTAGCTTCCTCTTGTTCGTAGTAGCGATGCCAGGAGACCCTAGTAGTAGCGTCTTTTGATCGTAGTAGCGATGCCCTTTGTTACTAGGAGCTTCTTGCCATACTGCTTTTGAAAACGCTTTCTTCACTAGGCGGTAGCTGTCAGTCATGGCAACAACTTGAACATGCAGGGTGGAACGAAGTTTCATCATCGACAACGGCGAGCTCTTAGTGTACAGGGATCACCATCCCAATGCCAAGGTCAAGGCCTGCATTTAGGAGGATGGAGGCCATCCCTAGTAGGTTGAAGTGCATTTAGTGGATATATTTCGATGTTTCGAAGGAAGAAAGGCCCATTAATTTGGTCACACCTGCTCACTCAGCTTGTCAACTTGATTTTCGCCCCGAGCCAACTTGTCCCGAAGTTGTCATTTTGCAGCGAAGGCCATGTACCAGCTCAAGAATGCCACCTGCTTCTACGAAGATCGGAACTCCGCATCTTTGCCCAAGTGGATGGA